TGGACGCGTTAGAGGCCCCAGGGTGGAGTGGGGGGGGCGGTTCAGGGGGGATTTTGTCTAAGGTTTTATCGATGTTCTCGGACGCTTTCGAGGCCCGGGGTGGTTTCCATCAGCTACGCTTCGTCTTTCGTCGAGAGCGTGCCAGGGGTGCCCTGATCGTCCCGAGCTGCAGCCGGAGATCCGATTGAGGACCCGATCATTGGGTGGGGGGAGTGGCTCCTGCGGGGACGCATCGACACCTGCGCACCCACTCCTCTCCAGTAGAGGCCCGATAGACCACTCCGCTTGAGAGCATGCGGCTACGCTACAGTCAACCCGCATAGTAAGGATGGGTAGTTCAATTTCCCAAGGGTGGGGGCTCCAAAGGGCACCGAGAAGCGGGGGGGCCCCTTGGGCCAGGGGCACCTCGTAGCACCCCCCGACAGGTCTGCCCATGCCGTCGGCCCACAGTCCCGGACCCCCGCGCGCAGTGGAGACAACACGACGCGAGGTCTTCGGCCGTTCTCGGCCTCTGGAAGCCGTCGCCGGGCCTCGGGACAGTCAAGAAACGAGCCAGGACGAGAAGCCGGTCCCAGGAAGTGGGTCGAGACCTCCAGGGGTCGACATCATGAGCAAATCATGACGTCGGGGGTCTGGGGTCCAAGGCGCTAAGAGAAGGGTTGAGTCGGGCGTGTCCAGGAATATTCCAAACAAATCCGAAAGTAGTCAGGGGACTTTTTGTTTGCATGTTTGATCCAATGTTGAGTATTTTTTGACTTTTTAAAATCTGTCGTCCAGAATCCCCCTGCAGGGGGGTCATGCCCGATCCAAGAGAAGGGCCCACTTCAGCCCCAGGGAGGGGCTCTGGCCTTTGCGCCTCAGATCTCTCTATAGGCCGGCGAGCCTGCTCGACGCCGAGGCTCGCCGTGAGCAGAAGAAGACCCTTCGTGCCCGAGTGCGTGCGTTTCTTCTGGCAGCGACTACACCTGGTAATCACCCTCAAGCAGTGCCTATAGCCCCACCAAAGAGAGTTCTAAGAACCGTTTGTGGTTCCCCCGAAATGTTCTTAGAACATTTCTGGCTGGGACTGTTTTAGTTTAACACATCGGGCTTATGTTCTAAGAACATTGCTTTTACTCTTAGAACATTTTGGGTTCTAAGAACACTTCGTGGCAGGACTATAGGAATACCGGGACGGTCGGTCCCTGCTCAAGACCTTTCGCCGGCGTGACCTTCGGTGCGGGCCCATCGGGGTTCCCCGATCGCCGAAGGCGATGCGATAGTAGCGTCTTGCGTGCTTGTGGTTGGTCCCCCGCGGCCCCCAACGAGCCGCGTACCAAAGGTCACTCTTACCCCGGGTCACTCTTACGTGTAGCCGATGGTAGCACGATAGCACGATGGCGGTATGTGTACCCCCTCAGACGGAGGCCGGAGGTTGCGCCCTCAAGTTACAGAAGGAAAAACAAACCACCCGGACCCTAGAATTGGCTTTCATTACGCGGCCTCGGGCGTTGACTAAATTGCCCTGTCCTGTTCGATTCCTTCTTTGTGTGCGTTTACTAAACGGCTTCGCGTTTCGGGGTGGCTATTTTCGGGGCGGATTTCTGCCCTCTATTAATGCATGCGTTTCTCATGGTAGCCGATGGCGGTATTTGTACCCCCTTCCGACGGAGGCCAGAGGTGGCGTTCTCAAGGGGAGGAAGTCAAGGGCAACGGCAGTGGGAGATAGGTCCCAAGGGGGGAGCGTCGACCCCTAAGAGAAGAGGAGGGGGATGTTGACGAGGAGGAGGACGAGGAGGGGAACTCTCCTCCCACTCCTCTTCTCTCCTGCCTCCTACTTCCTCTCGGAAGCCGGGCAAGGGCTGCTAAATCCGTGGCTGCTAAAATCGACCTCCGGGAAGTTGTCTTCGTCCTTCTGGGAAGAAGCCCGTTGACTGTTTCGCGTGCCGCGCCTCATTCTTGGAAGTTGTTTTTTCCTTCCGGGAGGGCCGTTTTAGCAGCCACGGTTTTAGCAGCCCTCGCCCAGCATTCGAATGAGGACGAGGAGGAGGTGGAGGAGGAGGAGGGGAACTCTCCTTCCCCTCCTCTTCTCTCCTTCCTCCGACCTCCTCCTCTCATGCCCTCTGCCTCTCTCGTGGGCCTCTTGGAGAGCATGGATCTCGCGGCGTCATCTCTCCTGCTCCTCCTCGTCCGCTCTCCTCTCCTCTCTCCTCCCCTCTCTCCTCTCCTCTCTCCTTTTCCTTCCATTTCTCTCTCGTCTCGTCTCTCGCCTCTCTCCTCTTGATTCCCTTCCTGTCTCATCTTCCCTCCCTTCCTCTCTCTATCCTCTCTCTATCCTCTTATCTGCGTCCTGCTTACGCCGCATCCCGGTTGGAACCTCGCGGCTCCATGCGGGGGTTCGAAGCGTGCAATTGTCGCCACTGTGGTAGGCCCCCGTCCCTATCTTGCCATTCCCGCGCGTTGAGTTTGTGTCTTTCTGGGAGCTCATGCGCACTGCGGGTCCAGGGTAATTATTTGTTCCGCGACGCGGGACTGGATGGCACTGCTGGTGCAGCAGTCTTGGCATCGCATCGCTGGAACCATCGAGGAGCATCCTTGATCATGTGGCGAAGAAACCACGCACGAAACCCAAAAAAAACACAGGGAATGGACGTCCGAGCGATGCCCAGAAGTAGGATGGGGAGTGTGGAGGTTTTGAATCGCCTACGGAGCTCTTCCGGGTAATCTCGGCTGGTCTCCACAGGCCCCCTAAGTGGCCCGCAGCGGTATCCACACCCTGGCGCCGCCTCCAGTGGAGCCCCGCTCCGGGCTGCCAGGGGCGGCGTGTTGAGGCCTGCTGGGGCCCACCCCGAAGCCTTCCCAATGAGGTGGAGGAGGAGAGGAGGAGGAGCAGCAGGACTCGGGCCAGACGAAAGGGGGGGATTGGGAAAGGGGGGTGACGAGATTTGCTGCGTGCAGCTGGTTTCGGCCCCACCGAGGGGCCCATTCCTCGATACATGCCCGCCTCCGGCGCCAGGAGGCGCAGCGAAAAGCAGCTACGCGAGCTGATTCTCAACCCCCCCCTTTGCTATCCCCCCCTCTCGCCTGGCCCGAAGGACGGGGAGGAGGAGGAGGAGGAGGAGGAGGAGGAGGAGGAGGAGGAGGAGGAGGAGGAGGAGCAGGACGGGGAGGAGGAGGAGAGGAGGAGGAGAAGCAGGACGGGGAGGAGGAGCAGGACGGGGAGGAGGAGGAGGAGAGGAGGAGGAGGAGCAGGACGGGGAGGAGGAGGAAAGAAGGCCTGTCCGAGGTACCTGTTCCGGCTGCTCGACGGGGCGGAGCGCGTGCTGGAGGCGCGGAACCAGGGCGACGGGGCCGTGCAGTCTATCCAGGCGGCCACGGGCAGGGGAACAGAGAGGAGGAGCAGTAGGAAGGATGGGAGGAGGACGAGGGAAAAGGAGGAGGAGGAGAAGGAGGGCAGGAGGAAGAAGGAGGATCCTCCTCCTCCTCCTCCCGGAGGAGCAAGAGGGGGGCAATGGGAAAAGACAAGCAAAAGGAGGGGGACGACGTGGAATACATATGACTGATGACGGAGAGCAGCAGGAGGAGCAGCGGCAGCAGAAGGAGCAGCTGGGAGGGAGATGAGAGAGGAGGGCGAGGAGCGATGGCGGAGGGGAGGCGGAGGTGCAAGCGGAGCACGAACAAGGAGCGGGGAGGGGAGGAGGAGGATGACAAGGGTCACCACCCACCAAACCACCCCAACCCAACCCGAAGGTCTGGATTTGCCCTCCATTTCCAGTGGGGGGGGGGTCGGGGAACCTCGAGAAAACACACATGGAAGCCGTGCCCCCCCCAACCCGAAGTTCGGGTCTTCGGGTTGGGATGGGGTGGTCTGGTAGGTAGTCAAAGGGGGAAGTGGAGGGAGGGGCAGGGAAGATGAGGTCGAGGAAGAGCACGAGGAGGGGGCGTTGGTGGTGAACGGTGGCATGACAGGCAATGAATACACGCAGTAGCAAGGAGGGTAGGAATGAGGGCGTCTGCGGGAGAAAGACGCGGGAGGATGGGGTGCTTCCCGACCTGCGTGGGCCCCTGGAGCGTCCCGAAAGCCACACCCCCGCCCTGAGCCCAAAGTTGGTCCTCGCTTCAGGCTCCTGGCCGCGCGTCGTCGCCGCCCTGGGTGCGTGGCAGGCTGCCTCCCCGGGCACCGCCGACCTGGGACTGCCTGTCCCCGAAGGCGAGGCTCCCCGATCGATCGCGCCCGAGGATTTCTGGAGGTCTCGTCGCTCTTCTCGGGCGATCGCAAGCATGGATCCCTTGGCATCGCTCGGACGTGTGCATTTTTTTCTCGGCGAGGGCCATCGAGGAGCATCCTTGATCATTTGGCGAAGAATCCACGCACGAAACCGAAAAACACACAGGGAGTGAACGTCCGAGCGACGGCGAGATCAGGGGGGCGTGGAGTAGCGACGGGTCCCGTTTCCAAGGGAGCTCGCGGGCTTCCGCCGCCGAGCGGGGCGGCGCCGGCCGCGTTTCGGGGAGGGCAGCTCCCCGGATCCATGGGTTTGGCGACTGCGCGCCAAATCCATGGATCGCTAATCCATGCTTGCGCGCCACCGATTTTCTCGCCAGGTCGCGAACAAAACCAAAAGCGACGGAGATGAGTTCTCCGTCTTCGGCCTCTGAGGGGCTCCTTGCCGGGCCCCGGGCAGTCAAGGGCGGCGCACGATGACACGCGGGGGCCCTGAAACGGTGCGGTGACCGCACCGGCCATCGTTGTTTGATCCACTGTTTATGCCGATCGGCGCGGGCCGTCGCACCCTTTCCCCCCCCCCCGGTGGAGTAGATTTTGGCTGTTTTTTGGTGCAGGTTTCAAGTAGGTGGAGTCTCCCACGCACCAGCCCAGGACTTCTCCCAGGTGCTTGGGCGGACGGCGCGGGGAGTGGCGGAGACAGGGGCGTGTGATGGCCTTTGGAGTGAGGTGATTACGAGGTGGAGCAGGGCGACGACGACGACGACGGGATGAGGCGCCGCACAGCTGCCCGCAGGTCTCCCAGACCCCAGATGATCGTGGAAGGACGGCCGGCTTCTCGGGGAGCAGCACCCATCTCTTGCCCACGCCTCCCTCGGCCGTGCCAAGGAGGACCGAGGATCTGGGCTTTGTCGAAGCCTCGATCCTCGATCCCCCACAACACGTCCAACGCAGTTTGGACGTCTTGTGGGGCGCTTCCCTAGGCTTCTCCTGGTCCGCCTCGCGATTCTGGCCAGGCTGTGCTCCATGGGAGGTCCCGGACCTGTGCAAGCACATCAGCCCATGGCCACAGGCGCATCATCCTACATGTTGTTCTCTTATATGCCGGGTCATTATCGGAGGATCGGGATCGATGCCTTCTACGGATCGTCCTCATTCTTTCTTTATCATCCACCTCGTTTTCTTTCTTGTCCTGCTCGCCTTCCTTCCTCGAATATATTCATCTTGACACTCTTCCCCGTCCTTCCCATTATCATTGTCCTGCTTGCCCGTCCTGCTCCTGCTGACCTCCAAAGTAGGGAGAGGAGGGGGATAGGGAGGAGGAGCACATACCGACATTGAGCGAGACTCCGACCGTCGATGCGGCGAGCGTTGACCATGGAGTCTTTGGGCTTTGTCGCCACTGAAGACACGAAACGAGTGTTGTGAGACGTAGAGCCCCCAAGTTTTTCCTAACAGTCATCTGCTGATGGGGGGGGCGTGTTCTCCTAGCCATTGCCGTTGTTTGCCGTAGAAGGGCCGCGCCTTCAAACGTCAGAATGTGTATGCTCTCGGCGCATGGAGTACATTGGAAACCCATGCCAAGACACACCCTGCTTGCCTCCAGGGTGCCCTGGGTTTCTTGGGCTTCCTTGGTTCTGCCATGGAAAGCGTGACGCTCCCACGCCAGAAGTCAATGGACGTCCCGGGCGTCTCACGGTTGGGTTTCTTTTGGAAGGTTTCGTGTGGTCGAGCTCGCCCTGCACAACCATTCACGACACAGTCGGGCCGAACGAAAGGGGGGGATGGGGCAAGGGGGGGGTACGAAATCTGCTGCATGCAGCTGGTTTCGGCCCCGCCGCCGGGCCCATTCCTGGATACATGGGCGCCTCCCGGCGCCGGGAGGCGCCAGAAAAGTAAGCTACGTGAGCGGCCCGACACAGCCCTGTAACACTCGCATGGCTCTGCTGGCCCCGACCCCTCGGTGCTTCCCACGCCTCTCCGGGTCAGAGGCGCGGCTGCAGCCGACGCCCAGGATTTGTCCTGGTTGCTTTTTTGTCTTGGCCGAGGCGCGACTACAGCAAACGAAAGCTGACCGTGCGGCGGGGGAGTGCTGCCTCCCAGACCTCCTTGGGTGCTTTTTCTTCAGAAGCAGCCACCCCACGGCAACCAAGAGACGGCCCAGAGAGGACGAACAACGACAGGCAGTCAGATCATAAACAAAATAATGCACATTATTTCTCGGAGGTCCGCTCGTTTTTTTTGTTTCGTCTCGGCGCTGTGCCCCCCTGTCGGCGCTTCCGGCGCCGCCTGGGTTCGCTCCGCGCGCCAGGGAGGGGGGTCCAGCGCCGACGCAGTTTTGGGTTTACCTGGGCTTACGTCGGGCTGTTCTCCTACAGGATGAGTGTTCAAACATAGTAGAACATATACTCCAGATTTCGTAATAAAGGGAGGGGGGTCTCATCTCGGGGGGGGGGGTCTCTTCCAGGCTATCTTGGAGGGCCTGGGGGGTCTGGGGACGATGTTTTGGTGGAGGGTTCTCCCACGGGGGAGGTCTGAAATGGCTTGTCTTGGAGGGTCCAGACCCCCTCCCTTTTATTACGAAATCTGGAGTACCTAGGCTTACGTCTGGCTGTTCTCCTACAGGAGGAGTGTTCAAAAATAGTAGAACATATAATGGGAACGATGTTTCGCCTGTTTAATAAAACAGCTGCCTGCAGGACGACGTGCCTGACCTAGCTCTAGGCATATGGCCGTCGTTGCCTCGACCTGCCCTCCCCGCGAGTGCAGCCGACCCCTGCTTGCCGGGATGCCGCTCCTGGGAGGTCCGGGGGAGCATCGGCGCTGGCAGATCCGCGGTCGACAACTCCTCCTCCTCCTCCTCCTCCTCCTCCTCCTCCTCCTCCCCCCTCCTCTTCCTCCTCCTCCTCCTCCTCCTCCTGTTCCTCCTCCTCCTCCTCCTCCTCCTCCTCCAACCCAATCCCGCTTTTTTCCCGCCCGGGCCAGCGCAGTCCCGGCCACGTCTGGCTCAGGCTGGCTCAGTCCTCCGAGCGGACGTAATTTTAGCCCTCAGTCGCTTTTGCCAAGAGCCCCGCATCATGAGTTGCCCCATGAGGCACTGTTCCCCAAGCAGTGCTTGCACTGAGGGGTCCTAGCGGACACTGACAGATTTGGCGAGAGTTCCTGGCCGATTTCGGTGGCCCGCTGGGTATCGGTTGCGAAGGCCTTACGGCCGGTGCCGCCGACCCTGAAGACGACGAAGGTAAAAGGGGGGGGTGCAGGGGGTGGAGGAGAAGTGGCAGGAGGAGGAGGAAGGGTGCAGGAGGTGGATGAGGGAGGAGGAGGCGGGGAGGAGGAGGAGGAGGAAGAGGAGGCGGAGGGGAGGAGCCTTTTGGAGCCTTGGTGGGGGTGTTCTTGGAGAGCTCCTGGGACGTCTAGGAGGGGTCTTGGATCGTCTTGCGGTCATCTTGGCCGTGCTGGGCCGATCTTTGAGCGACACGGGGGTCTTGAGGGCAATCTTGGGAGCCATCTTCGGCATTCTGGGCTCTTTTTGGAGCTGTTTCCGGGAAAAACAAATCAGGGTGGCGACCCCCCCTGGGACCCCCCCCCCGCGTGGAAGGGATCAAAGGGAAGGGGCGTCCCTTCGACTCCAACACGACGTTGCGTTGTACACTTTCGCTTTGGATGACACGCTTGAGGAGGGCCCGGGAAAAGACGGATACGGCGAGGAGACGACTGTGACGACGACGAAGACGACGAGGAGACGACAACTCGAACGGAGAAGCCCCTCGCACACGCCGACGGCGGATTTCACGATCGATATCACTATCACTGCCTTCCAAATGTTTCAGACCATCCACCGATTGGGGTTTTCCTCTGTGTAATGTTGTATCCTCTGGCACCCTTTTGTACTGCTGTATCCTCTGGTGCTCAACGGACGTTACCTGGGCCATCGCTTTCCAGGTAACGGCGGTGCGGTTTGTATGTCGGGGGGGCGGCCTGGGCCCCCCACAGGTGTTGGTGCTCTGCGCGCATACTCGCAGCGCACCACCTCCCCGACGTGCCCCAGCCTACCCGCCGTTCCCGTTCCCTGGGGCGCCCCCCCTCTCGGGCGACGAGATATTTGCACCATGCACCGAATCTGACCAGGCCCGTCTTGGACCCAGGGGCGATGCACATGCCTCCCTGGCCCAGCCAGGAAGGCGCATGCTCACATCCTGGGCCCAGGATGGGCCTGGCCAGGATCCGTGCAGGTGCACACTCCCCTTTCCTCTGCCCTCCCTCGGGTCACGACCGCTACCACAAACAATAACACATATGTTTAGGACTGGCCCTCCCCCCCCCCCGAGGGCATCGGCCGCGCGCAGATGGGGTGGAGTGGGGAGGGTTTTTCCGAAGGGCTTAGGCGACCCGTCCTCCTCCTCCCCCTCCTCCTCCTCCTCCTCCTCCTCCTCCTCCTCCTCCTCCTCCTCCTCCCCCTCCCTCCTCCTCCTCCTCCTCCTCCTCCTCCTCCTCCTCTCCTCCTCCTCCTCCTCCTCCTCCTCCTCCTCCTCCTCCTCCTCCTCTCCCCCTCCTCTTCCTCCTCCTCCCCCCTCTCCTCCTCCTCCTCCCCTCCTCCGCCTTCTCCACCACCTCCTCCTCCTCCTCCTCCATCTCCTCCTCCCTCTCCTCCTCCTCCCTCCTCCTCCTCCTCCTCCCTCCCTCCTCCTCCTCCTCCTCCTCCTCCTCCTCCTCCTCCTCCTCCCCCTCCCCCTCTCCCTCCCCCTCCCCCTCCTCCTCCTATTCCTCCTCCTCAGCCTCCTTCTCCTCGTTCCCTCGGGGGAAACAGTGCAGGGGAAAGTGAGAAGCAGAAGGCCTTTCAGAAGGTTCGGGAATCCCTTGGCCTTCTGAGAAGTTGTGCAAGTCTTCTCCGAAGAGAAGAAGAGGCAACTTCTCCGAAGGAGGCGCGAGGGCTTCTGCGAATGCCCGCCGCCTTCTGAGAAGGCCTTCTCCTCCTCACTCCCCCTCGTCGCTCTCTGCTGAAAGACGCCTTCCCCCCTCCCGCCTACAGTCGGCCTCGATTAGGAGGTCGACCCTGCCAAATCGAGGGTACCCTCGTGTCCTTCCTGTGTTTCGCGACCCGTGCCTTCTGCACTCCTATGGCAACGTGGCCCTCGGAAGGGTCGCGTGCCCTCTCCAATCAAGTCCGACTTCCCTCCCCCCCCCGCGCGCGCGCCGACGCAGTGTACAGTCGGACCGAGGCACAACATCCAGGTCGGTTCGGGGAGGGTGCCCTCGTGTTCTTCGTGCTTGCCGGACGTGCCTGTGCGTCCCAGGGAGGGTGCCTTGGGACGCTCGGTGTGCCTTGACCGACGGAGGGCCTCAGGTTCTCGAAGGGTGCTTTTCTGCCCTGAGTCCGGCTGTACCCCCCCCCCCGCGCGCCGCCGTAGTGTAGCCTACCCCGGGCCCGCGCCAGCAGCAGGGGATGACAGACCACCCGGACTCGATAATTGGTGTGTATTGAACGGCCCTGGGCGTTTATCAAAAAGCCTTGCCCTGTTCGATTCCTTCCTGAGGTCGTGATGCTCCAACCTACTTCAACCTTGATCACCAGAAAGGATTTCGAGCACCGAGGGAGTTCCGAAACTTGAGGATTCTCACGTGTCGGGCCCTGGGAGGCGATACTCGTTTGACACCGTTTCGACATGTTCCTGGGATGTGGTCCTGGAGTACGGTTGGAACAACCTGATCCTTGGGTGCGTTTCGTTTGCGAACACGGCTTCGCGTGTCGGGGGGGCTGCCACGAGGGTGGTTTTCCTTCGGGAGGGAAACGAAATA